CCAGGGCTGAGGAAGGCGATCGGCGATAAGGAAAAGGCCGAAAACGGTGAAAAACGAAAGTTTCAAGTGGGAACTGAGATGTATATCGTTCGATAGCATTTTGCATGGAGAATCGAATGGTGTACACCACAGCTCCGTAGAGCCACCTGGAAGACCAAAAAATCTGGTTTTTATTTCACGGCAGAGGAGAGAGCGATGTTTGAGGCCACACCAGGAAGAAACACTCGCTCAAGCCCGAGTATATCATCTTTTTCCAACATACAAGTAAACTTACTCTACGATAGGGAAGAGAGTTCGTCCCTCCCTTCTCGAATTTCCTCAAAACATCCCTTCGAAAATTGGGAAATGTCACAAAATGGATCTAGTGGCAGGTAAACTAGATGTTCTCCAGAAAGTGAGTTGTATACCGTTCGACAGTATTTTTTATGGGGAATTGAATGGTGCACATCTCAGTCTTCTATGTTCATCTGGAGAACCAAAAAAATCTGATCATATCGCAAGGGCATGACGAGGTGTGATGTTTGGGGTCACACTACGGAAGGAAGACTCACCTGCCACCAAGGTTTCTATGTAATTCCTACAGACAAGTGACCGTAGTCTACGACAGTAGAGGAAATTCGTCGCTGCCTTCACAGCTTTCTACATAACATCTGCTCTAAACATGGAACATGTCGCAAAAAATGGGGCGAGGTGTGATGTTTGGGGCCACACTACGGAAGGAAGACTCACCTGCCACCAAGGTTTCTATGTAATTCCTACAGACAAGTGACCGTAGTCTACGACAGTAGAGGAAATTCGTCGCTGCCTTCACAGCTTTCTACATAACATCTGCTCTAAACATGGAACATGTCGCAAAAAATGGGGCGAGGTGTGATGTTTGGGGCCACACTACGAGAATGAATGTCATATTCGTAATCAGGGCATCGAATTACCCCAATAGGCAAAGTTTCGACGAAAAATGAAACTTTGAGATTTTGGGGCAGTAATAGTGGAATAATGATGCCCAATCGGCAATAGGGGAAGGCTGAAAACGGTGAAAAACCAAAGTTTCAACTGGGAGGAGTAATGCATAATTCGATAGCATTTTTCACGGGGAATCCAATGGGGCACATCTCAGGTCTGCGAGCTCATCTGGAAATGCAAAAAATCTGATCTTTCCACAAGGGCATGACGGGGAGGCATTTTCACAGCCACAGCACGGCGGAAGCGCTCGTCTACAAGCAAGTATGTCATCTTATTTCTACACTCAAAGTAAGCGTACTCTACAACAGTAAAGAGATTTTCCCTCTACCTCCTCAGATTTCGGAAAAACCTTCGCTCAAACATTGGAAAATTTCACCAGATAGGCTAACTGTCCAGCCGAGAATTGATCTATGATTTCCATTTGAACACGAGAGGAGGAGATGTTGAGCGCAGGGACTACGTGTTAAGTCATTTAACGCGCCGCTGTGGAATAGGGACCATGAAATCTGGAAAAAAGCAATCGATCCATTCACAATACAATGGACGATGTTGAATACGCGGCGCGTTCTGGGGCAACTGCTGAGACCCATCTCTCTGAAGAACGATCATGATGCATAAGCGGGATTATATGCGCACCACATTCAAACAATTTTTTCTCGAGCCAAAGCTCGAGTGCATGGCGCAATCTGAAGTAGGGCTTTCCAAAAGTTTAAAAGCATATTCTTATAGAACTCGACGAGCTGAGTTCAATGCTTTTTTCAGATTTCGAAAATCTTAATTTGAAGCGAGTTATAACGAAAAAACGAAAAAGAAACGCGAATTTGCGTTTTTCGCGTGTTTTTTTCGATTTTTTACGGCGAGTACCGTAGTTTTCCACATGGTTAGACTCGCCACAGAGAGACGAGTCCAATGGTGTAGAGCACCAATCATTTGACCCGCTTTGGGGGGAGTTATGAAGGGGCGACGCTTTGCGACGCTGCAAATCCGTCGCTCAGCGGAGAAATTTCAAAAGTTAGTGGCGGTATTGTATTGTAATTCCATTTGTGCGAATTTGAAACGAAAATCGAACTAGGGACCCCTTTTCTGGTATTCAGAGGCCGTTCAGGAAAAACCATGCTTCTGTGGTCCCCATATGTGCCCCAATGTCATGCAAGAAACCATTTTGAAAAAGCTTGGCACACCCTGAACGACTTCCCTGGTCTGTGCACTAGAAAAGGGCACCTTTTTAGCCCGTTCGTTCCATGTTGAGCGGATCTTGTCGGTTTCGACCTCACCAACGCTAACGCTCTCTTTGCTAGAGCAGCTAGAGCCAGACCACGAGGCGATGGGCAGGCAGCGACGCGAGCGGCGCAGGTGTTGCCCCTAGGGCGCTGGAAGAATAACGTTTGCTACAGAACTCGCGTGTTCCGGACCCTTAGGAGGCCTGCTTGCTTTTGCTCTGGGTATATGTACTTTACCTTCGTCGACCGCCGACCTCATGATGGAATCCTCGTTCAACATATGCCACTGAGACTTGAACTCCGCTGTAACGCAAGACGAGCGTGCGAGTTGGGAGTACGCTCGCGATTCTCCTGTACAGCAACTCCAGAAGAGGATTAGGGTCTCCGAATCACGCTAGTGATCGAATACCAGGGATACTGCCGTTTTCGTCAAGGAATCGAAGATTCTTTGGCGAAAATGGCAACATCAGGGCAGATCAGGGCGAAACGTGCATACAAAAAGTCGATGAAGGACAGGAATTATTCCTGGAACCTTAGATTATTATGATTCATATAGCACTTACCGGCGAAGCAATTTGCACTTCCATGATCATCAATCTATGGCTTCAATTCAGTGCCTCGCTCGATGCATTGCCACCCTCAGTTCGCCTTCCTCAGAAACGAAGTTGTGTAACAGAACAGAATAAAACTGTCGGAGAGCTTGTCACGTACTGTTCATAGCTCATGTTTGGCTGTCCCTTCAGAGCCTCTCCGCGCCGCAGAAAAACGTGGCTATCTATTTAGGAACCTCGAAAACAACGGCTGAGCAACTTCAGAGGCATGACGATGAACATGACAAATATGGCAAAACGGTGTAATGCCCTCTAGGGGAAGAATATGTACTAAGGAATCCCATGTTTGCTCGTCCTTTCGGAATTCCCGCGAGTTTTGTCATCGAGTTTGTCAATCTTCATCAAAAGAAGCGTATTTGTATGAGAAGAGGTTCTCCTTGTGTTAACCACCGCTGAATCACCCTGTTCCTCGTGCTTTTTTCAAATTACAAAAGTTAGGAATGCCTGCTGATAGAGCTTAACCTTGCCAGAGGGAGGGACCTCTCGACATATTCTCCTAATGGTTCGCACAACGCAACCAAGGTTATTAACCAGTTGGCGCCGCACGCATTGCGCGCGCAACACAGATCTGTGGCGAATTTTGATGGTGCGACGAAAAATTTCAAATTTGGCTTGATACAATACGAATATCTGAATTCTCCGCTAAATTCTATGCGCTCTTTCTTCGTCAACCATTATCCTATTTTTCTCGGTCCTCGGCCCGGACAATAAATCTCGTGGCGAACTCCGTCTACTTCGGTGCGTGCCCTGCCGACCAATAGCATTTGGCTCCCTTCTTTTCGCCGACCTCTACCCCCTTTTTCACCGGTCTCTGGGACCTCTTGGAACCAAATTACGACACTTTTGGCAAACTCCGCCCACTTAGGTGCGTGCTCTACCCACTAATAGCATTTGACCTCTTTTCCTTCGCCAACCTCTAACCCCTTTTTCCCAGCCTCCTGGACTTCTTGGGGCCGAGTTATGAATTTTCGTCGCAAACTCCGCCCACTTTGGTCATGTCCTCCCACCATTGACAGCTGGCCTCCACTCCTCCACCCACCTCCATCCACCTTTTCCGCGGCCTCAGGGACTTCTTGGAGCCAAGTCATGAATTTTCGTCGCAAACTCCGCCCACTTTGGCCAAGCCCCGCCTACCACTGGCCTTTGACCTCCACTTTCCCACCCAACTATATCTTCTTTTTTCCCCACTCTCCGGGACCTTCTGGAACAGAGTTCTGAATTTTCGTCGCAAACTCCACCCACTTTGGTCAAGCTCCGCCCACCGATGACAGCTGGCCTCCACTTCCCCCACCCACCTCCATCCACCTTTTCCCAGCCTCCGGGACTTCTTGGAGCCGAGTTATGAATTTTCGTCGCAAACTCCGCCCACTTTGGTCAAGCCCCGCCCACCATTGACAGCTGGCCTCCACTCCTCCATACACCTCTATCCACCTTTTTCCGGCTCTTTAAGACTTCCCCGACCCGAATTATGAGGGCTTGTAGAAAATGCTGTACACTTCAGAGCGCGCCCCGCCCATTCTGGGCGGCCTCCGCCCACGTCATGTATGCAGGAAACACCTTAGACATTGCTCCCTTACACCAAATTGTTTTCTGCTCTGTAGGCTTTCTCCCAACCGAGTTATGAAATTTTTCATAAAGCACTGCTTTTTTAGAGAACGCCCCGCCCACCGGGGTGGGGTCTCCCTAATTCGATGTGACTTACCAATGCACACCTTACCCACTTTTTGGCCCAGTTTCGAGGTCGTTTTGTCACTGAAATCGAAATCTTGGTCTTCGGTACAATTCATTTCGACGCACGCCACGCCCTCTGTGGGCGGGGCTCCGCTTAGCTGATGTGTGTTTTGTATTACGTGAGACCTTGCCCACCCATCCCACACTTGACCCGGTCCCTCCAGGCGGATCCCGAGGAGCTAGGGAATTTCGTGACAGACATACAGAACGACAGACGAGGGACAGAACGACAGACAGAACGACAGACGAAGCGCTTTATAGTAAGTAGGATGGTTCGTAACGCAACCAAGGTTATAAATAATAAAAGGTAAATGGAGATGAGGAGCTTGAGGATTCAGAAAAAAATGTAGAAACAGTCCGTTACAGTGATATTCTCTCAAATTTTTTATGAAACCCCCATATTGAAATAGCATGTCCTTCGATATTGTTTTAACAGGCTAATGTGGCCTTCCCATTAAGGTTGGATGCTTTATAAATGAGCCCTTCGTCACTTGTAAGTCGAATTCAGCTTTCGATTGATTTGGCACCGTCACTCACTAAAAATGCATTCGTACATCCTTTTTCTGGTATGTTTCACTATAGTTTAAAGTAAAACGCTAATCACGAGAGTGATTTGTCACTAACACCGTTAAAATCATATGCTTTTGAACTCACGATGAAAAGAAGAAAAGGTCGCTGAATGGTAAGTTGGGAAGTTGTAAGTAAGAATAATCATGTTAACCTACATACTCGCAGAGAACTTATCTGACTGTGTTCTTCAGATCTCCTTCGTCCTTTTGCTCTCCAGTGGGCATGCTGAAGGTCTGCTTTACAGGATTTTTCACATTTTGACTTCATGTGTTCAGTTCCCGTTCTCAGGTTACAACTGCGAGGAAAACGTTCCCGAAAAAATTCAAGTATTTCTGGCAAATGCCATAAATTCGAAGCGTAAGGAATACAACAGCGCAGTAAATTTACTATTGGGACACGTCGTAAGTCGTTTTTGTAACTTTAGCAGAGCTCCACTTTTCTAGCTCATTAGCAAGAACTCAGAAAAAAGAATTAAAAATTTTCTTATATTTAACAGATTTATGGAGATCTGACATATATTGAGTACTACGAACTTTATGAACCCAATGATTTATGCAAGTTCCATAATATCTATGGCTAGCACGACTTACAGAAATGTTTACTAAGAGCTAATTTATATAGAATTTTAGAATGTGCCATTTAGCTCGCCACCACATTAATTGGGATTTTAAATTATTATGCTGAAGATGAAAGACTTTTTTGGGACATACAATGAAATTCGAGCCAATTCGACCCAGCAAAAAACTTACGGTCCAAATCATTTGGCATAGTACATACGTTTGGGTGTCACTGTAGTTGCTCTCCCGCTCCTGGGTACTTCACTTGATGGATATTCAAGAATCTCGCAGGTAGAGTGGGCGTTGGCGCACCGTTACACAATTCTAGGAGCTAAACTATGGTTGTGTGGACATTTCCCCTTTAAGAAATCAATATGATTTAAGGACTATTCCCATACCTTAATGGATCAGCTGCGCTCGTGATTATGGCAGAACCCTATGCCAGACACAGTCAATAAACAAGAAACAACTAAAACCCATCACTTCAAATATCTTGAAAATTTTTCCGTTTTTGCAGGAGTTTGACTGCAACCTTGCAAGAGAAGCCTTCACACATGAATACAAAGGCAAAGTACATGACGGTTTCCATTCGCTAGTCGAAAGGTATCTCTTTGATGTCTATCTCTAGAAAAATTCTAAATTATGAAAAGCTAGAAAATCTGTTTACCTTTGCTCCCGCTATGATTGCGGATTCCAGAAATCTCGAGGAAACTATCACAGAAACGTTGGAGAAAGCAATTGGGAATGTCCACAAAAATGAGGTGAGATAGTTATTTGAAGAGTAGCGCAAAGCAACATAGTAGCTTCCCAAGAGACTCATTTTTTGCTTCAGATTTGGTTTGGCACGGCTCAGGCTACCAAGGTTGGATGCAGCATCAAGCTTATAACTAAGAAAGAAAATGGTCAACACTGGCTACTTCTCCAGTGCAAATTCAGTACAGTGTAAGCGTCCAAGATATTGTATCATAACGGTGTGCAAATACGTGCATGCTTGTATTTCAGAAGAGGAAATCCGCGCAAATAACATGATGTGCTTAGACTTCCATAAAGTGTGGCAAAGGATAATACATTTGACATTAATCAAATTAGTTATATAAGCCGAATAAAGAATATTTACTTCCAATTTGTTCATGTAACAAATGTCATTGTTACACTCCATGACAACTCTAATGTGGAGTGGGGGGGGGCAGGCCCGAAAATGAGAGATATCAATCATTTACTATACAATACTGCTGTAACATCATTGCGTTGCAACGGCTCTGAAGCGTCGCGACGGTTCTGTAGTGTCGCAAACCGTCGCACCATTATAACTTCCTTGAAAGCGGGTAAAATGGAAAGATCTTTACAGCAATAGACTCGCCTCTCTGTGGCGAGTCTAACCATGTGTATGCCTGCTAATATGCTCGAAATGACTGTAAGTCATTTCATGAAAACTATCGGTTGGCAGGGAGAGATCTCAATGCTGCTCATATCGATCGTGGGCGGAGGCGGGGCCAATCGCCCGTTGCTCCCACTCTTGCGCCGAGCGATTGCATCGCGGTGGACAAGTGATGGAGCGATCGCGTCGCTCCGGCACTGGTCCATCGCGCT